TTTTTGTTTTTCTGTAAATATAATATTAAAAGTGCCTTATAATTTTTACATCTCCATTGTTTTTACATCTCCATATACCTAAGTATATTACTTTGTATTAAATTTTAAGTAAAAATTTATAAAACTATGTACAAACCTTTGCCATTCGGCTAATTGCCTTGGCATATTAAATAAATATATACATAAATTTCTGTAATTTTAAAAAGTAATTTTGTTCCTTAAATAAGGAACAATTTGTCTTCAGCGTGTATTTAATGCCAAAATAGGTTTTCAAAAGTTAAATTAAATATCACTGAAAAGGTTTTAACCTAAATTTGTGCTTTTTAAAGGTTTCATGTGATTTTTTCACAAAGTAATTGTAATTTGCTAACAATAATAATTGCAATAATATAAAAAATTAAATCCCTGATAAGATAATTAATTCGCATGAATAACTTTTTAAATTAATTATTTAAAATTACAATAAAAAAATAAAACAATAAAGAGCCTGCATAGTAATGAGACAGAAGAGGATGAAACCGAATGCAATATGGCCCGACGTAATTTTGAGAGCCGAACTCTTCTTCCTCGCCGGTGATCGTCGTCTTAGTTGTCTGCCAATGCAAACAACCGCTATTGGGTTTCCAGTTAATGAACCGAGGGCCAGCGTCTTCAGAGGCATTTTTTAGCAGTGGGCTTGGCTTAAATTGAACCTCTTTCCACCCCATCGGCGCTCCACTTCCTCCAGACGCTTAGACTTTATTGCAATTTTATTCTTATTGATTTTTATTGATATTAAAATTTCTTTTCTTTTTTTTACGGCGGAATAATTTTTAACAGTGACTATTTTTGTTGTATAAAAATATGCTGGTAATGATAAGGCTGAGAGCTGTTACTTGAGGAAGCGGAAATGGGCTTATGTAATAAGTTAAAAAAATAAAATAAATGACGGAGCAAAGTGTTGGGTGTACGGCAAGCAAGGTATCGTGGATGGTATCGTTGGCGGACGCAAGTGTCCAGTTCACTAAGCGGATCCCCGATAATCCGGATTACGTATTTGCCCGGTACGTTTCTGCCTGCCATCTCGATTTCTCGTGTAGCGTTCTCTCTGGTGAACCCACAGTGACGTATTTGCCTCGTGGCAACAGCATCGTCTGGTCAGGTAATCTGTCTGTTCAACACTCCGCAAGTGGTTCCTTCCTGAAAAGGTTTCACTCCTCGATTCCGCTCCTCACTCCGCACTAAATATCCGCAATTACCAATTACTTTCTATCAACTCCATATATGTTTAATATCATACAGCTACACTAACCTAACGCTGGTACGACAAATTAAAGAAATATATTATTGATCCCTCGAGTGTTATAATCAACGATCGCTGATCGGTAAATAAATTAAATTTATTTCTCTTGAGAATAATAATGATGATAAAATAACCGACCTACAGTTAGTTTTAGATGAGATGAACGCAGTTTATAAAAATTGTATTGATAGAAAAGAAAGATTGTACATTGTGAGTGGTGATTAAATGCATATGATGAAAGAGTGGAAGCATTAGGTGTACGTGCTCTGCATACTGATTTACGGCTGATTGATTGGCTCTCTTCTCACCAACTATCTTCTTCTCTCTTTCTCATCTTTTCGCTTCTTCTATATTCTCTATTAATATTAAATACAAACAGTTCTGTCCTTGTCTTTATCTGTTTTTTTTTTTCAACCCCTTACTGAAATTCTCGTAACGGTTTTGTTCAAATAACGAACAAAATTATTAACATCAGTTACGAATTTTTATGTCTCATATTATATATTGATATTTATTTTTTTTAATAAAATTATTTGTCTTAATTTCTATTTTTTATAAATGATATTTCAAGAATTCAGATGAAGTTAAACAAGAATAATATTAAAAATTATTTAAATGTTTTAAGGATATATAAATTTATTAACATACAAAATTTTATGAAAATTTTTTTATTGATATTTTTATATTTTTTTAAATGTGATTAATAAATTTTTTATTAAAAAAAAAAAAAAAACCGATGCTGCACTCTATTACAATGATCCTTTTTTAAGCACGGGGAGACGACTGGAAGCCGGATCATCTATAATCAAAATTTAAAATAAATTGGCTAACTGTCTAGCTAAAATGTTTTTATTATTAAGAAAAAAATTTCAACAGCTTTATACATTAAAGTAAATTTCGGTCGTTCCAAAAATTACAAGCCTGAAAAAATTACGAATGAATGTAAGAATGTAATGTTTTGGGTGAGTTTGTCAGCAACGAAAAACAAGTAAACTTATTTAAAAAAGTCTGGAGCTGACACGAGACACTAATGTAAGAAAGATGTAGTCAGACATGGAGATCGGAGTTTTGTCGAGTAGTGACTGGGATCACGCGAAAAACAAAGAGCAAGCACACAAGAAATCGTTGATCCGTAATGTAATTGTTTTTGACGCGGTAATTTTACAGTGTCATGGGTACACGTCTGTGTAGAGTAGTCGCGAGCTGCTGCATCATCAGATCCCTCGTGTATTTCACTCTTGATAAAACAGAGTCGAGCGTGCATCGTTACTATACGTTACACACATCTCGTCACAAATTTGGTACGTGGTCTCGGCCTCCGTGTTACCCATTTTCCCTTGGTGATACTCTCCAGTAAAATCGAGAGTTAGCTACCGGCCAAAAGTTTTGTTCGGTGTTTGCTTCCCCGGTCAGAGCATCAGAGGTGGAACTTTCAGATTAAAAAAATCGATATATACGGAGAATTTAGAGATAGATTAACTAAATAAACCGACTTCGTGCCAACAATTGTTTGTAATTTCTATTTTATAAATTCTAGATTAGGGTGAAGTCACCCAGGTCCAATTTTGTCTGTACTTGATATCAAACCTAACCCGTGAAAAAATATTATAGAAATATGGAAACTAAACACCAATGACAGATAAGTTTTTCACACAATTTAAAAAAATTATTTTTAATTTGTAACTTAATATCTCAAACTTAACTCTCTTGTAGCGCGATAATCCAGCGACCATGCGCCATCTGTCGAAAATTTTTAACACTATTTAAAAAAAATTATCGATTTTTTGAGACACCCTACTGATCATATCACGCTTTATATAAACTCCAAATTTTCTGATCCGCATCAGAAAATTTTTCATGGGAAATTATGAAGAGGAATTTATCTATAAATAATATATCTCGGAACTTGTAGTATATCGGTAAATGCGGAGCAAATAAAAAAGTATCTTATTATGAGACCAGGTTACGGTTGAAAAGAAACAAGTGAAGCCAAGAGGTACGTGAAATGAACAGGAGAAGCTGCACCGCCTGGAGCTACAGACTGGGCTGCTGCTCTTTTCATTCTTTCGTTCGTTCGTTCCTCACTACACTTTTTTTATTATTTATATTTTTTATTTTAAACTCAACCTTATTCGTTCTTTATTTCTCTCTACTCTCTTTTCACTTGAGTTACGCCGTCAACCACTCCACCACGTACGTCTCTCATACATACGCCCGAAGCTCGACGAGCTGAGCCAAGCGACGTTAGAAGAGAGAATTGTTGTGAGAAGAAGGCACCGCCGAGGTTTTTAACAGCCAAGGAGTCAAGTACCAGAGGTAGGATCCCAACCACCAAGTCTGCCGCGTTTTAGCCGGGAGCTAATGTAATACCAGCTTCTTTGCCTCTCATTCTTCGTCTTCATCATCATCATCATTGTATTCTTCTTTATTTTCTAATTCCTCTCGATCCTCCCAACTTCGTCCATCATCCCCCGTTCGCGCACTTCAACCACCAGTAATTATAAAGCTAGAGTTAAATGCAAGGGAAATAATAGCGCACACGCTGAAGATCAGTGCACCAGAATTTTCTTCCGGATAAAATTTCTAGTTATTAAGCGAAAATAAATAAATAACAATAAAATGATAATGATGTGCACGAGTACGTATTAATTTTTTCGCGTATATTTGTAGCTGGAAGGAACGACTGAATAGCGGAATTTAACTGGTGGGTTATTCCCGTTTGCTGGAATAAGACCCTTAGGTGACAAGTGAAATCTCTGATGTACGTGGATGTTGTTGATGATTGTAAGACATCGGTATGCCCACACCTGGCAAAGCGCTCGTTCCCGGTGCTCGTTCATCGTCGTCAAACTCCTCTACGACTATTATCAGTTTGCAATTCCGGTAAGCCAGTGTGTGTATGTGTAAAGACTGATGAAGGGAATGAACGGCAGCATTACAACCATCAGCTCAGTTTCTCAGGGCTGGAGCTATGTACTCTTGACGATCCACTGCCGCGGGGATCATTGCTCACTCGATCCGCTGATTCCGATCCTAAACGTCATCCTGGCTAACCCCTTTGGCTAAATTGGCTGATGCTTATTCTCAAATCACATGAACGTCATTGCGGGTAAGGAGGATGTGCCACGCAGCTCTTTTTTTTATTTTGATAAATTTTTTTATTTTTGCATTGAACTATTATTTGGAATATTTATTTATTTTTTTGGTTTATTTGTTATTCTCTAAAATTTACTTCTTAATAATTATGATAAGACTTTCATTACAAAGTAGATAATACCAGAAGTATGTAGAAAAGATATGGAATTTAAAGCTTTGTTCTGTTAAATTAATAATTCTAATCAAGCTATCTAAAAATTAATTAAAAGAACATTAGAAGAAGAATTAAATACTCTTTGTTTCAAAAGATTAATTTTATATTTTTTGGGAAGTTCTCACTTAATGGACTTGATAAAAATTCCTTTGTCTCACATCATATGTTATTATTGTTATTATTATTAAGTTTGTAACAAAGAAAATACATCGGAATGTTATTAAAAAAATTGCTTTGTTCTCTAAAGCTTTGTTCTATGAGGCTTATGAGTTTGTATATAAAACTAGTGCCTTTGGTGACAATTTACAAAAGTCGGTTGATACACTCAAGCATACGTAGTTCCCGATTCTCAGCAAAAATTGAAAAATGAAGTTATTCAATATTTCTTCTTTCTTCATCGCGCTATTCATGTTAATAGCATGGTCAAAACCTGGCGATGCTCAGGTAATTTAAATATAATTTGTATCAACTTTATACCATTAATTGAAATTTGCTTATGGATTTAATGTTAGATCGGTGCAGAATTTAATTATCCTCAATCATCAGGAAATTTTTGATCAAAAGCATCCGGATACCCTTATCCACAAGATGAAGATCCACCAAGATTTTGCGTAACTATGGATTGATTTAATTTGTATTTTTTGTAAAAACTGACTTTATTCTTCTTATTAAAATTGATCTTTTAAACAGCATTCTTCTCCTACTTCAAGACGACCCGGATCTCAACAAAATTCTTCTAACGGACAGTCATTCGGACCTCAATCTCAACCAAATTACTCTAGTGGGCAATCATTTGGACCTCAAGTTCAACCTAATTCTCCTGAGCAATCATTTGGACCCACAATTCAACTAAATCCTTCTAGTGGGCAGTCATTTGGACCAAAATTTCCGGTAGTAAGAACATTCCTTTTTTATTTTTGTTATATTCAGAAAATTTACCTCATTTAAAATTAATTATGCACGTAAATTCTTTGCAGCCAACCCCAAACCCTCAGTCATCAGGCCCTTCAACATTTCCAGGATCATTTGACATAAATTCATTTAATAGACCACAATCTCCCGTAACTAATATTTAATTTTTTTATTAAAACTTATCATCACATATATTCTTGGATTGATATCAAAATCAAAATCATTTACAGTCAACATCAAGACCACAGTCACCAGATGTAACCAAATTCAATCAATTTTCTTCTTACGAAGAACCTTTTGGATCCCAATTTCGAAAATGTCCTAGATCTGATATAATGAGAAAATGGGTAATCAGAGTTTTAAATGTTATTTGATATTTTCGATTATCTTCTATTTATTAACATGAATTTTTATCTGAAAGATCTAGAAGATATAAAAAAACATTATCAAAATATTATGAAAATATTATCAGAATAATTCGATGTAAACTGAAGTGATAGATCACGATTTCCGGTAATTATTATCTGACTTTATTACATTTTTTTATCAAATATATTCTGGTATTAATAATCAAATTAAACATATAAGCAGCCAAGATTGAGATCAAGACTGCAGTCACGAGATTTTTCAAGATTTGATCAATTCTTTTGATCTTATTGAGCCAGACTCAACATCAGACAGCTACTACTTTTTCTTGGATTATTTTATATGATTCTTTGGCAATTTGTATCTCTTAATGATATTAGTTATTCAATTTACTATCAATTTATAATTTTTCCATTTAGTATCATCAAAATCCAGGCAATAAATAAAAAATTATCTAACCAATAAAATGCGTTTCTTTTCTAACTATCCTAAGCTATTTTTTTTTTTATAGCTTAAATTAGTCAGTGTAGGGCAACATAAACTCGTATAACATATAGTTTAATTTTATATGAACTCATATTTTCAATAAATAAAAACTAAAAAAAAATTATCTATATTTTACACACTTATTTTTGTATAACTATTAAAATTATAATATAACTGTTTTTTTAAAAAATATACTTTCGAATTCTATAAATAATAAACGCCTGTGGCATTGATGCAATAAAAATAATTTAAAATTAATTTTTTATCAAAGGAAATAACGAGATAATTCAATAATAGTTCAGTGAACTATTATATCTAATATACTATTTAATTATAAGTCACCAGTTACATACTAATCATTAGTCATAAAGTTATTATAGTCAATAGATCCCGAAATGATGTTTTTATTTAATTATTTTCTATTAATTGTCGTACTCTTCGCACCTCTCTTAATTAATGTAAGTATATTATATTTTACAATTTATTTTACAAAAATATTAATTAATATAATTTTGACTTCGGGCAAGTCCAATGAACAATTTTGACCCCTGCTCTAAATTCGAATGCAGTAAAAATGAAAAATGTGTAATTTCTAAAATAAATAATTTAGGAGAATGTATTTGTCAGAATGGTTTTTATCTCAATAAATTCGACGAATGTGAATGGAATAATTATTACAAACTAGATATTGGAATTAAAAGAATTTTCAGATGTTGAGTTGAATCATCGATTTTTATTGAGCCGTTTAAAATCCAGCAGTCAAATATTTACAACACAATAAAATCAAAATAAGAATAAAGTGTCGATCTTTGTATATATCATCCACGCATATATCAAGTAAATACGGCAGCGTGACCAATAGTATCGTAAAGAAATTAGAGGGACAGTAATGGTTTCCGGGTACACTGGCTTCCGTTTGGCATACATCTTTTCCAGCTGGTTCTCCGGATCGCCATCTATACGTTTAATATCAACACACATACATTACATATCCCTGAACAATCTTTAACCGGAAATTCCATTACTTCCGTTTCGCATTATTGATTTTTGATACACCACGGAAGCACGGATCACCGATAATACTATCAACTTTGAATAGGTAATTCAATTATCACTTTCCTTTGTATTAATGTCAACTTTAGCGTTATATCTATAATTGCAATAAAGATCTCTATGACTAAATTTATCTGCACTTGATAAATTTTGGCAAACAAGGAGGAACAAAATTTAAATCTCTAAACACAGATGATGATAAATGGAAACAACAAAATCTAGACTATCTAAATTGTACGTTGATGTGGAATAACGCGGAATACACACTGTCATCGTAGTCAAAATGCACAGCAAACAACGTCGCAATCAGCGTAATACCGCGGCTATCCAGCTGTACCATAAATGCACGAGAATCCGCGCAATATACAACTACTGTATTTTGTGTAAACGTGTTTGGTAGATCTATAGACACAGATATATATGTTTGTATCTAGGTATATATCTATACATATACATATGTATATATACGATGTGTTCACGCAAATATATATCCACGCCTCACTGAACTTGGAGACTAACTCCCTGATCATCACCATGCCATGCTGCTCTCACTCAAATTCGTATAATTAATAATTCCACGGATTACGGAGACACTAACTGAATACATTAAATATTTCACTACCTAAATAAACCTCAATATTTTATTATTTATTTTAAGCCTTATATTTTTCGTGTAATTTATAAGTATTATTAATATATAAGTATTTTATCAAAACTTGCTATCGATTTTTGTTTGTCAATTTTTGCGAATTTTAATAAAAATTTATTCCTCCAAAAATAAATTCATAAAAATATTAATTTTGGAAAAAACAATAAAGTTATTTATACATAAGCAAATATTTGAATAAAAAAATTTTTTTCAATAATTTTTTTGATGGAAAAAAAATGTCAATAAATAATTGAGAGAGAACAATGAGTTTGTGTGAGCTGATTGATCAACATTGTTGGTGAATTAGACTCCAGTGAGATGGGCATATTGATTGGCAATCAGTGTCACCGAAACTGAACGAAACAGCCGGTCCGGGAAATCCCAACAAACTATATAAACTCTCTAGTCTCGAAATGATGTGCAGCAGCTGCAATGACAGGGATATAATATGCAGTCGCGCGGAAAGCTCCTGTGTGTTGAACTCGGGGAAATTACTCGCAAGAATTTTAAAAACAATAAAAAAAAAAAAAATCAAACCAATTTTACGAAAATAACAATCGATAAATTTTTGAATTAAAAATTTCCAAGACTCGTGTCAATTTTCGTACTCAGTCTACCAGATATTATTGTCTGGCTTCGATTTATGAAATTGTTCCTGGATTGGTAAATCCTAACGAAATAGAGCTAACCAATAAGTAGGTGTAATAGAGTGTATACTCTTCCGTACTGCTGGCTGCTGGTAAGGTTTATTAGGAAAAAATCTGTAAAATATCGAGCGAGCTTACTTTAAAAATACTCTGGCATCATCATAAGCGGCGGAGATAAATCAATTGTTTCAAATTTACGGGAACGGATAATCAGCAATCCGTAAAATTGCCGGTTCCAATCAGTGGGTTTAAGAACCAGAAAATAATCGAAAAATATTTCTCGCGAATTCAAACGAGAGAAAGAGTATTAACATTTATTTTTCTGCAGATATGTATAATAAATTATATAATATGGGTATTAGTCTTGGAGTAACAAAGTACATTTTAAACGACGTGCGAATGCCTCGTGACCTACCAGCGTAACGTGGAATGCTGCTGGCTTCTCATCCTTATATACATCACAATATGACGTGCTCCGCACTGCACTTAGCTGCTTTACTCCTCTATTCCACCAGCCTCGACACTTTGTTTTATGGTTTTATCCGTTTGACTTTTGCACTCGAGTATATAAATTATCACAACTTTTGTTTCGGAGATGAAAATTGTTTAGAGTATTATTTTTATGAAAAAAAATATTAAATTGATAAGGGCGTGTTAAAAATTGAATAATAAAAAAAAAGAAATCAAAAGCTTTGAAATAAAGTACAAAAGAAAGTTTATCTTTTAATGAATAATGTTAAATGGTACACGGAGTCTATTGACATGGTTCGTTTCACGATTCGAGAAAACCCGTGAAGATTCGAACGAGGAAGTATTAATCCCTCGCGAGCCCTGGGGATATACAGCGGGGTAACAAAGTACCCCATTAACTCGAATACTCGCAGAGGCCGAATAAGGTCGTTTCCACCCTGGAAAACTCGCGCTCGTTTACTCTCACTTATATAAATACTTTCTATCTCAACCATTTTATCCAACACCAACTACTACTATTTTTGAATCAACTACTTTTGGTGGTCTGGGTCCTTTATACTCTGTACAAAACTTTCTCTCTTTCATTTTCTCGTTCTCTAACTTTAATAATCCCGGTTAAATACGTTCTAATAAACTTCTCCGCAATCATTAGAGCTAAATACTTTTTTTTTTCCTAATAATAATAGAAAATATTTTAAACGAATGATTGAACAATACATTAATGATAATTTTATAAGATTCCGACAGTGGCGCGATTGAAAAACTGGTCACAAAAAGTAGGCTCGTGGCTTAACAAAAACAAGCGACTGAATTTGACGGCAATCGAGTTGATTTTACGAGACAATTTGGACCCTCTGGATCCGACCGGATGAGTCGAAATAAGAGTACGAGGGTCTAAGTAACAGAGGGTCAAGACTTTACTTTTATTCTCGATAAGCCGAATTCTCGACCCCGTGTCCGATCTTACCGATAACCTGACCTTCCAATACATATATATACAAGGATGAGTATACTTTATTCCTAAGCAAACCTTTTTGTACCGAGTGGTATTTTGCAGTTTAAGAAGACCATCCGAAATCCTCAATTGCTTTTCTGGCTCCAGATCCTCATCCTTTTTCTTACTTGACTTTATTTCCCACGGTCGAGCACTTTTGGCTCCACTAAACAGACATTTCGGTTGCTCTTTATGGCCTGCTAAATAGAGTTTCCCTCTTTTATCACTTGCCCAAGGTCACTAAGTTTTTCATCTACTAGTGACTCTCTCTTTCCCACGAAAATTTACTGAACAGATCTCTAGATCGCTTAGATATTAGTCGAGTTATTCCAAGTCATTTTTTTTTTTTTTTTATTTAAATAAAATGCAGCATTAAAAATCGTTTACTTGTCAGTTAATATTAATGATTAATTTGAAGATTGAGCATTAATGGCTTATTGCATTGTATTTATATATATACAGAAAGAGCACGAAGCTGCGCAATATAAAATAACGCCTGGAAAGCATTTGTATAACTGAGAAGGTGATTAACCCGGGCGCGGCGGAGATCGTCCGGAGCCGGTAATTAAAGCAGCACTCGCTTAGGATCGCCGTCGGTGAAGCCGCGGGGTAAGAGGAGCTAAACTAACGACAAGCGGAATGCAGTTTTACCAAGCGAAAAAGAGACACCAGAAGGCTGAGAGGAGACCGAGTGGTCTAAGAACGGGG